AAAAAAAAAAAAAAAAAAAGAGGAAAATTGAGAGAAATAATAACTGTACTCTGTGTGTTGTCACAGTTGGACATCTTTACCTACCAAATCATGAGCCTGTGGCTGATGTCAGATGACTAATTTCCATTGTTGCAAAATGCTTTTGTTATCCCTATCTGCTGTTTAATTTATTATTGTATTTTTTCCTTCTGACCCACTTTCTGCAATACACTTATGTGTTTGATTGTATTGCTACTAAAATGAATGTTTAAGCTGTTTCTCCTCAAGACTTCTATGGTCATATAGACATTCATTCTGCTTCATATGAATCTGCCCATAAAGACTAATTCCTGCTGATAATGTGTACTGGACAGTTCTAAATATATTCATTAACATCTCTATTTGTAGGGGTAGGACTTTCTGGTTCTTCGATATAACTATATTTCGAATACTTCTGTATATATTAACGTGCTTCCCCACAGATACGTCACACCAATTAATGATATGACTTTGGACTCTGATATTTACGACACACAATCCGAGCTTCCCTGTAGAATTTCCGCACTACTATGATTTCCAAGGATTTCTTGTTCTCTAAGAATGCTTGCCTCAATTATTTTCCTCTTTTGTTAAATCATGCTTTTGGTGGTAAATTATGGGTTTGTTTTGAGGTTAATGTGTGTTTGCCAAAGAACGCAGATAAACAGGCTATAATAAGCAACTGGTTGTATAAGAAGTTGAGAATATTTCTGGGCCTTAGTAGCAATGTAGCATTCAGAAAGAATTAAGGAGGAAAAATAAACTAGCTTTCATATGCAACTGGTTCTATAAAAAGGTTAGAACATCACTGGGCATTACTAGTGTTCAGTAAGAATTAAAAAGTCTGATGATGAATTAGCTGTCATGGATGGTACCCTTCAAACTAACCTTTTGCAAGACACCTGGCTACATGGTTTACCTAACTGAAACTGTAGATGATGGAGTTGCAGATGCTATGCCCCTTGTTATATCATTGTCTCCTGACCTCTATTGGGTCATAATATCATTTGACGACATGGTTCGCGTGAGGTGGTACTAAATAAAAAAAATTGAAATGCCATGATGATCGAGTATAGACAGGAAAGTTTTGCTCTTAACATGGACGTGTCCTTGTCTAATTATAATTAGTGAGCTTGTTCCTTGTGTCCTGCACGTGTTCCTAGACACATGGCCTTATTTTTATATGGTTTATTCTTCTGTAAATCGGTTATGATATGAAAAGCTGTTGAACAATTCTTTGGGAGAACTCCACAAGTATTTAGAATTGAAATGTCTTTGTCCTTTCCAGGTTTGTCTCTATTTTAGATGTGGCCTCCTTGAAGCCTGATGCTGACAAATATGCATCCACCAATAATGATGTAAGCAAAGGGGGTAAAGGCATATTTAACTCATCAACTCTGATGGTGGCTGGACCAAGCTGTTCGTTTGCTTCTCCTTCGAAGTCATCATCATTTGATGACATGCAGAAGGGTAGTCAAACTCCAGTAAGAGGTTCTGGTGAAACCATCGCTGAGAAATCTATGAATCGTGAATTCCAATCCCATGGTATTTTTGTCACTGACAAGTCCACAGATGGAAAATTAGACCCGTTGCATACTGAGGCCAGAACTGATGCTTCTGTTCCATACCTAATGGAATCTGATGGACTGAAGAGAAAAGGAGATCTTGAATTTGAGATGCAGTTGAAAATCGCGCTCTCTGCCACTGCAATTGAAAGTTCTAAAAGCACCATGGCTCCCAGCGTGGTGGATTCACCCAGCAATTCTTCAACTATCACTCCCCCTTATAAAAGAATGAAGAAAATTATGACCGAAGGTTCATCATCTTCCTCAAATGGAATATCTACATCAATTGGATCAAAAAAGGTGGGAGCCCCACTTTATTGGGCTGAAGTTTTTTGTAGTGGAGAGAACTTGACAGGAAAATGGGTGCATGTGGATGCTGTCAATGCTATTATTGATGGAGAGCAGAAAGTAGAAGCTGCAGCTGCTGCATGCAAAAAATCTTTGAGATATGTTGTTGCTTTTGCTGGACACGGAGCTAAGGATGTGACCCGCAGGTTTCAAATTTTTGATGTTATATTTGCGATGTTATTCTGGTATATAGATTCTTTCTTCTCAATTTTTGATGTTATAGTTGCCATGTTATTTCTTTCCAACAAAAGAGATTCAGAAAGACAGTTATAAGCCTACTAGAATGATGGTAGTTCGTTCCTGGGTACTTCTGAGCATGATAGTATAATGATCTCTCTAGAAGTTCTGGCTACTTCAATTTAGTACCTCTCCTGTATGCTTTGTCTGGCAGTTTTGGCTAGTTCAATTTAGAACCATTCCTGCAAACTAGATTATTCAAGACCAAATTTTCTGATGACTAGCTCCATACAGTGAAATATGTATATGTATATAAATATGAATTGTACTTAAAATATGCATGTGAAGAGAGTGAAGAAATTAATCAGAAGTACGCTATTTTAGCTAAAGAGAGGAGCAAGAGAATCCTAGTTACCTATTTATCCCACCCTACCTGGAATGAATGTTAACCAATTTTATTCCCTCAAATTGGGGAAACTTACGACTAATTTTCGATTTTCCGGTATTTTCGAAACTAGGTTGTGCTTTAACAACCCTAGTATTTCAGCTCTAAAACTATTCAGCCTTCCCGCCTAAACATGTACTTTTCAACTTTTTTCACTCATAAATTGAATCAAACTCATTGCTCATATCATTTGCCCAAATTTTACTTATGTGCTTTTACACGTGTAGTGACAACAGTAATTTTTTTGAACAAACAGCATGGTGCAAGTCAAGTTTGGATGTTAAAGATATGCTTCATTTGACCTTGACTTGACGAAGCATTCATTTTTCTTTCTTTTCCATTTTCTTTTGATTACTTAGTGTTCTTGTCCTTTCTTTTGGTCTGGGCTGCGGGTGTGTAGGCAGTGGAGAGGAGCCATACGTGTTACTGTTTGATTGAAGGTTTGTTGTCGCTGGCTCTGTTGACAAATAAGTTTCAAGAATTCCCTTTGATGTCTTTTAGTGAGCTCGATATTCTTTTGGTAGTTAGTTATATTCTTTCTTAACAATGGTGCCTTTTGTTAAATGTCGTTTAATGAATTTTAAGGTGATTTGGAGACTGTTTCTGTCTTGTATGGCAACAAGTCTAAGCTTTCAGTTGCAGGTGTTAAGGAATACATTGATGTATTGGTTGCTTGTTTAATATTTGAGATAAAGTCAGGAATGAAATTAGCCAAAATAGTGTGGTAGAAAGCATGGTTGGGTTTCAGTATCTTCTTCTCATTATGCTACTGCTACCCTAGCCTTTGAGAAATATTATAGTTTAAAAAATGTGTTACAATTCTGTCATTTTTAGTGGTTTGTGTCATTATTTTCTTATTCATCCATTGAAATGTACATATTAATGTCTTGGATCAGTGAATTGTTTGGCATGTAACTGGTTTGGTAACCGTCTAACAGGTAAGATTTGAGTGATTGAACATGGACTTTTGAAATATCCAAGTTCTGTATCTAGAGCCTCTACGTTTTTGTTACTCCTTGTATTGTTCGTGTAGAGAATGGTTACATGAGGCATTTAGGTTTTGTTCTTTTTATAATTAATTTACGGAACATTAAGAAGCTTAGAGACTCTATTTATAATGGGGATTATAAGAAATTAATAAGAAATAATAATTGAGAAATAATGTCGATGGACAAGATAAGAATCTCTGAAACATTTTAAGAGTATTTCAGTTGATTACGTGTCTGCAGATAAAATGTCAGTGATATTCTGTTTGTGTACATGGAGTGTGCCGATCAACTAAAAATCTTATTAAAAAGTGTAGCATTTCAGGTATTGTACAAAATGGTACAAGATAGCATCACAACGAATCAATTCAACATGGTGGGATAGAGTATTGGCACCATTGAAGGTGTTGGAGTCAGGAGCAACCAGTGGAGTCATCAACTTAGAACAAGAAGCTTCAGTTGGTGAAGAGATGGAAGCATTGCAAGGAGCAGACCATCCAGGTCAGGTTGGCCTTTTAAAAACTAAATCGGAAGAGTGTAGTGAGAAGGCTGTGGTGTCTTTGTTGAAGAACTCTGTAGAAGCTACCAGAAGCTCACTTGAAGATATGGAAATGGAAACTAGAGCATTGACTGAACCACTTCCTACCAATCAACAAGTATGACGAAATTTCACATTGTTCCAATTTAGGTTCTTTGACTAACAGTTAACACGAATATAATTTCTAGGAGTACATAATATATCGTTTTCTGGAATTCATTGTCCCAGGCCTACAAAAATCATCACTTGTATGCAATTGAAAGATGGCTTAAGAAGTATGAGATTATGTACCCTAAGGGACCCGTGTTGGGTTTTTGTTCTGGTCATCCTGTGTATCCTCGAACTTGTGTCCAAACACTTCATACAAAAGAAAGATGGCTGCGCGAGGGGTTGCAAGTGAAAGCTGATGAACTTCCTGCTAAGGTCCGATTTAGTGTGGAATTTAATGTTTGAATAATGTCTAAGTTTGATCAGTATCATTGATTATTATTATTATTATTTTTTGTTTCATTCAGGTTCTGAAGCGCTCTCTTAATCTTAGTAAAGAACAAGCTCATGTAGATGATGAGTATTCTGAGGTCGATCGTGAAGGGACTGTTTCTCTCTATGGAAAGTGGCAGACAGAAAAATTGTGTCTTCCTCGAGCCATAAATGGGATTGTTCCTAAGGTAAATTTTTGGCTCTTTATATGTTGAAGTTAAAATTCATGTGGACAAGTATACCATATCATATGATTTAAACATATATTATGATGTGATGTCGAACGTGGAGAAGTCCACAATATTTTGCATTTTTTTTAAAAAAAAATTGATTCAACATTTGATGATGTATTGTGTGATTGGAGTGCTTCAACTCCCGGCATTCCCCCCTCCGTTTCCTCACATTTTCCTTTGAATGGGGTTTTGGATGCTGTTGATTACATTGGATCTTCTTACCGATGTAGCATTTATCCAACATTTTTGGTGAATTCATTTCATATAGCCAACCACAATTAAGACTTATTTTGTTGTTTAGGTACAATATAGTATAGAAAATCCACTGTTTTGATTTCTTATTTGCATCACTTGATTGTGAGACTAGTTTGTCTGCTATATTTTACTTTTCTTGGACATGCTGAAGATTGATTTTGTGTTTTAATTATTATCTTCTTGCCTTGATGTGGTTGGTTAATAAGTGAGCCGCAACTGAACTCTTATTTTTATTTCTAGAATGAACGTGGCCGTGTGGATGTGTGGTCTGAGAAGTGCCTCCCACCAGGCACTGTCCACTTGCGGTTGCCGAGGGTGGGTCTTGTGGCCAAGAGGCTGGATATTGACTATGCACCTGCTATGGTTGGATTTGAATTCAGAAATGGCCGGTCATTCCCAGTAGTTGAGGGTATTGTTGTTTGTGCCGAGTATAAGGATGCTATTCTAGAGGTAAATAAATAATTGTTTATTTTGGATTTCAATGTGTTAGGCAGTGCTACCGTGTTTTCATGCTGAATTTGATGGAAACTTGTTTCTCAGGCATATGCAGAAGAAGAAGAGAGAAGAAAGGCTGAAGAGAAAAGGAGGAATGAAGCACAAGCTCTTTCTAGGTGGTATCAACTTCTTTCTTCCATCATTACTCGGCAAAGGTTGAACAACTGCTATGGGGATGGGGATTCATCACAACCCTTCATTGACATCCCAATTCCGGATAATAAATCCAGTATACCTCCTAGTTGTACCAACCAGAAGAACGTGTCTCCCGTATGCCATCAAGTTAACACACCAGATGAAAAACATGATGCCCCGTCAATTATACCTACACAAAACCACGAACATGAATTTATCGTGGATGATCAGACTTTTGACGAAGAGAGTTCATCACGATTGAAGAAATGTTGGTGTGGATTCTCAATAGAGTTTGAGGAGATATAGAACATTTCCCCCAAATAGTTCAGTTATTGCATCATATTATGTATGTTACTCCATACTAACCCAACGGAGCATAAAATGTCACTCTTGACTACATTTGTGCTCTTCTTTGCCACTTGCATTTTAATTTACATGTTTTTGTTTGTGCTTGGCTTTACACTTTATTGCATCTGCTGATTCAAGATATATGGATATTTCTTGCAACTTTTCTCCCACCATTTTTGTAGCTCTTAATTGGACACGTAGCGAAGTATGCCTTCTTTGCATTCAACTTTTGGGAGGGAATTGGAATGCTATTCAAATTGCACTTCCAGCCGTTGCTGCTGCCATTAAATCTTGGTAGAAACTTGTCATCCCTAATTACTTCTTCGAACTGGGTTCAAAAGCTTGTAGCCTCTTGATAGAACCAAAACACAATAGAAGCAGTAAACTCAAGAAATCGAAGAACACACAAAGTTCATCAACACCAAGGGATCGATTATCATATATTGGGCTCAGAACATGAGAAACAACCACAAAGACCTGGACCCTAAAGATCGAAAACAAACGTGGCTATTGCAACGGAATCCAAGATCAAACAACTGATCTCAACACAAAACCCTCAATCGAAGAATCATATAGACACAAATCACTCAGATTCAACAACCAAAATCAGAAGTTTTGATCAACGCAAAGAAATCGAAAGAAGGAATAGAAGAGACGACAGAGAAAGAACCCCAGAAGCTTCACGAAAGAAACAGAATGAAAAGTTACATAAGGATAACTATTGAAGCCCCTTATATACACAAATCTATCACCATAGATTTCAGCTGATGATTGACGGTCCAGAGCAGCACAGATGTCCATCAAATAGGTCGGGTAATTGGGCCTATTTCAAATGTGTTATCAGGCAATAGCCATACTTAAACTAGCAATGGGCTAGGCTAATTTCATATAGCCCAGTGAACTGCATGAAACTTATATTATTGTCATCACAGCCCATCAAATCTTCCCCTTGATGTCAATGATATAAACAAGCCAAAACAATTCAGTTTCTCCATCATAAGCACCAATAGGAACAGTCCTGCAGAAACACAAAATCACCCAATATGAATTCTTAAAATTTGCAAACAAGATTTAAATTTGTTGAGATGAAGTACATTTGTTCCCATATCAGTATGATTAAATTGTCTTTGGAATCTTTTCAAGCAATATGGATTTTTTTTGAATTATATCTCTAATGAAATGCATCATAACATCTATGTGTTTAGTCATTTCATAAAAAACTGAATTTTTACACAAATGAATGGCAATTTGACTATCACAATAAACAACAATAGAATTATGCAATTCATATAATTTACACAACAAGCCTTTAAGCCATAAAGACTCTTTAATAGCCTCAGTAACAGCTACATATTTAGCTTCTATAGTAGATAAGGCCACAATAGATTGCAATTGAGACTTCCAACTCATGCAAGTACCACACAAAGTAAACATATATGCAATTATAGATTTTCTATTATTCTTATTACTAGTATAATCAGAATCCACATATCCATTAACACAACTCACTCTTTACAAAATTTAAAATGCAAACCTAAATCAGCAAAACCTTTTAAGTATTTTAAAAGCCATTTTAAAGCAGTCCAATATTTAGGTCCTGAATTTGCCATAAATCTACTTAGAATGCTAATAGCATGTGCAACATTAGGTCTAGTACATTCCATAGTATACATAACAGATCCAACAGCATTAGCATAAGGCACTTTTTGCATGTAGTTGATATCAGATTCATCATGTGGACATTGTTCTTTACTAACTTAAAATGACAAGCAAGCGGTAAAGAAACAGACTTGGAATCATGCATAGCAAACTAGGATGACACCCTTTTCACATAATCAAATTGTGTGAAAAGAAGAGATTCTAGCATGACAAGTCTTTCATTTCAAATTTAGCATTTAAAGCCTTTTTAATGTCATTTATATCACTCATATTTTGTCTAGCCCACAACATATCATCAACATACAAAAGAAGATAAACAATCATAGAATTATTATCATTTCTTTTAAAATAAAGACAATGANCATGCAAGAAAGCAGTTTTAACATCCATTTATTTAAGTTCTAAGTCATATTGAACAACAAAAGCAAGCATGGCTCTTATAGTAGTATAGTTAACAATAGGAGAGAAGATTTCATTGTAATCAATACCAGGTTTTTGGGTAAATCCCTTTGCAACTAATCTAGCTTTAAACATAAGAAGCTGTTTAGAAGTATTTCCCTCCTTAATACTAAAAACCCACTTACAATCAACGAAAGACTTATTCTCAGGTTTAGGAACTAGCTTCCAAGTATTATTTTTCAATAGGGACTTCATTTCTTCTTCCGTAAGTCTCAGTCACTCATTTGACTGTTGACAACTTAGAGCCTCTTTATAGAATTTAGGCTCTTTAAAAGCTAAATCTTGATATGACAAAATAGTAAAAGATTGATAGTCACCCATTCTAACAGGTTCCGTAATCTCCATCCTAGTTCTATCCTTGGCAAATTGACAATTACTGAAAGTATCATCTAATTCACCCATAGAGTCATGTCCACTGCCTTCAATAGGTTCCTGTGAACCTAAAATACCATTAGTCTCTTCACCAACTTCATTCTCAACTTGTTCATCATCAACAAGTTCAGGGGTGAAATCTATCTTCACATGCATCCTAGTTTCTTCTTCTTTTTCATTCTCAGGGACCTCTCTTAAGACTTTCTTACTTAAACAAGGCATATCAGCTTCATTAAATGTCACATTCCTACTAGTTATCATCTTAAATCCATTCTCTTCTATAGCCCAAAGTCTATACCCCTTCACTCCTTCAAGATATCCCATGAAAACACATTTATGGGACCTAGGCTCCAATTTGCCTAAACTTTGGTGAGAATAGGCAGCACACCTAAAAGTTCTCAAGATAGTATAATCAGATAATTTCCCTGATCATATTTCCTCAGGTGTCTTCCCATCTAAAGCACTACCAGGAGTCATATTCACAATATACACAACTGTCATAACAGTTTCACCCCAAAGGACCTTAGGAAGACCTGAACTAATCATCATACATCTAAACTTGTCAAGAATAGTCCTATTTATCCTCTCAGCAACACTATTTTGTTGAGGGGTATAATAAACAGTTTTATGCTTGAGAATATCAAGAATAGTCCTATTTATCCTCTCAGCAACACTATTTTGGAGAGGGGTATAATAAACAGTTTTAAGCTTGAGAATTCTATCATCTTTACAAAGTTGATCAAATTCAGTATTACAAAATTTCAGACCATTGTCTATTCTCATAACTTTGATCCTTCTATCAACTTGATTTTCAATTAAAGTTTTCCAAATTTTAAACTATTCAAAAGTGTCTGATTTTTGTTTTAAAAGATAGATCCAAACTTTTCTTGAAAAATCATCAATCAGTGATAAAAAATATTTGTTGCCACCTTGAGTGGTAGTAGATGATGGGCCACACAGGTCAGAATGAATATACTCAAGGATAGATGCAGTCCTATGCAGACCACTAAATCAATCAGTGATAAAAAAATATCTTTTTCCACCTTAAGTGGTAGTAGATGATGGGCCCCAAAAGTCATAATGAACATATTCAAGGATAGATGCATTTTTATGCTTTCCAGTGTTAAAACGAAGTTTATGTTACTTACCTAAGATGTAGTGTTTACAGAAAGAAATCGTAGAGATTATATCATTACCAAAAGCCCCCTTCTTTTTCAAAATGTGCAGGCCTTTTTTACTAAGATGTGCAAGTCTATTATGTCATTTCAAGGTAGCATCAATCTCAGCGCTTAAAGACTCAGCGGTGTGACTCTGAATTATACTAGCTCTAGTGACATATATACTGTTTCTCTTGGTACCTTTGAAAATAACTAAGGAACCCTTAATTACCTTGAAAGAACTATTTTCAATCATGCCTTGGAGGCCTATGTCATCTAAATTACCCATAGATATTAAGTTTCTATTCAAGTCAGGGACATACCTTACTCTTTCTAGAGTAAAGGTATATCAATTTTCAAACTTCAATGTCACACTATCAATTCCTTTAATCCTACAGGCTACATTATTACCCATAACTACCTCTCCACCATCAAGATCCTTATAGTTCTCTAATCAAGGTCTTTTAGAGGTCATATGGAAAGTACACCTTGAGCCTGAATCCAAAATCCATTCACAATTCAAATCACCATTATCTGCATAATTTGCAACATTCAAATCAGAAATGGGTTTTGTCACCACATAGACATCACTAGTTCTATCATCTAAGGGTTCAACTACATTCCTCTTATCAACTTTCATCTCTCTCCGTTCATTGTTTTTTCTTATAACAGTCTTTTCACACCCATAACACTTCATATTTCCACTCCTAGACTTTGATCTAAACCTCCATTTCCCCTTTTTCTTTCTTAGAATTATTATTCCCCTGATGACTCTAACCATTCCCTTGCCTAGACATAGTTTCCTTTTAACAAATAAACTCTCAGATTCCTTCCCTGCTCTATCAGCCTTAAGTTCTAATTCCTTACTTTTTAAAGAATTTATCACTATTTCAGGAGTTAGGGTATATCTGCCATACTTAATAACAGATTTAACATCTCTATGTGCCTCAGGCATGTCATTCAGAAGGATAACAACCTTATATTCTTCAGAAACTTTATCCCCAGCATTAGTAATATCTTGAACTCACTTATTAGAAGTATCAAGATTATCATCTAAATCCTTAGACATAACAATCTTAAAACTAAAGAATCTCTCAAGAAGGAAAAGTTTATTAGGCAGAGACTTAACCAAGTACTGATCTTCTAATTTGTCCCACGATGCCTTAGCATTATCAAGTTTTCCTACTTTTATCAACACAAATGAAGAATAATAGAAGTGTAGGCAAGTTCGTCAGATTCAATCATTTGGTCAGGAGTCATAGTAGCAGGGAAATCGCCAGTTTTAACCTTTGAAACTTTCTGTTGAACTAGGACCCCTTCCATTTTTTGCTGCGAAATGGGGAAATCCCATTTTCCATTAAAAACTCCAAATTCAAATGTAATAGTTATCATTTGAAGTTTTTAATCAACACAAGAAAAGATTTGAGGCCAGAGTTTAACAGAAAAGGAAAATAGATATTCCAAAATAATAAAATGTCACACAAATACTCAGTGTCACACAAAAAACAGAAATGAAATATCACTCAATTCAACAGACTAATAACAATAGTGATGCAAGAAATCAACAGTGATATTAAACAAACTAATAACTACAATGAAGGAGGAATTGCAATACTGAAATTAAAAAAGACTAATAAGGGGAGTGCCTTTAATTTCTGCGTGTTAGAATTCACCAAGATTCCGTGAGGTTCACGACCCCAGGTCTAGGTACAATTCGTAAACACCAGAAATAAAAAGAAACAAGGAAGAGGTAATGGGATAATAACAATATTCAAGATCAAATAACAAGAGAGTTAGGGATTGAAATTTTTTAGGACCATGCTAGTGGTACATCAAGATTTACATCGGGGTTTACACCTCTCACACCTCCCATGTGAGAGAGATGTATCCCTTGATGTACAAACTTTGATGTACAAGTGGAATTGTCCAATTTTTTAACCAACGGCTTCGAAAAGCCACCACCAAATACCCAGGAGTTCAACAGAACAACCAACATGAAGCCAAGTATTTGAGTCCGTTCACCAAGAACCAACAAGTAGTCTTCAGTGGACCAATATTTCCTCAAGAATCACCACCAGAAAACCAAGATCTGTAAAAAATCGAATCTAGGGTTTCACCAAAAAATCAGATCTGAAATGATCTGGTTGTGAAATTAAAATCCACACTTAGAACCTACGATCGAAGGATCGAGAGCCACCCAGAAGGCTCTGATACCACTGATAGAGCCAAAACACAAACTCAAGAACTCGAAGAACACACAAGTTCATCAACACCAAGGAATCGATTATCATATATTGGACTCAGGACAATACATTGTACCCTTTTGTACAAGAGTAACAGCCACAAAGACCCAAACCCTAAAGATTGAAGAGAAACGCAACTACTACAATGGAACCCAATATCAAACAACTGATCTCAACACAGAACCCTCAATCGAAGAATCACATAGACACAAATCACTCAGATTCAACAACCAAAACCAGAAGTTTTGATCAACACAAAGAAATGGAAAAAAGGAATGGAAGAGACGACAGAAAGAAAACTCCAGAAGCTTCACGAAAGAATAGAATGAAAAGTTATATAAGGGTGACTGTTGAAGCCCCTTATATACACAAATCCATCATCGTAGATCTCAGCTGATGATCGACGCCTAGAGCAGCACACCTGTCCATCAAATGGGTCGGGTAATTGGGCCTATTTCAAATGTGTTATCAGGCAATAGCCATACTTAAACCAGCAATGGGCTAGGCCCAATTTCATCATAGCCCAGTGAACTGAATACAACTTATATAATTGGCATCAAAGCCCATCACCTCTGATACAAGTGATGAAGCTCCTCTTGGATGGAGAGCTAGTTCAATTTCAATTCAGATTCACTGAATTAACTATTATTCGTCCCAGTTGGTTATCGATCTCCACTTGATTCAGTTCCCCTTCTATACATTCAGTATCAGCTGCATCAAGAAGTGGGATGAGTCTCTTTGCCATAGGGCCTATTTCTTTTCTCTCTGAAGGCTTTCTCCTCCAAGAACATCAGGAAACATATCCAATGTCCTATTTTCTTAAGGACTGAAAAAACCACACAAGTCTTGTTGTACTTCTTAACATTTGTGCGCGTGAAATTCTCAACTTGTTTTATATCTGTAAATAACTGTTGCTCATCATCACCCAATGCGAAAAGTTGGGCTTCCAAAGCCTTGAGATCCTCAAAGATGCACAGTCTCTCTTCAAATTCTGCTAGAGATATGTCAGGTACACTCAAGTAGATGTTGCATTCCAAATGCATATTTCGTCGATCTTTTAATGCAGCTCTTATATTTACTTTTGTCAAGGACTTGTCATCAACTTCAATCTCACTTATTATGCTTCCATCTTAAACAGTCCTCAATACCTAATTCCACGTTCTCTAACATTAGCAGCTTCATGGCGAACAGGTGTAGAACATTCCAAAGGCTTGAAGAGTAGGCACGGAGTACACGGATTTCTGCACAAGCTCCCAGCACAGCAACAACATTTCTTCACTCCATTTTATGCTGTGTTCTTTCCCTCCCATGTACATAAAACAATATTTGGTGATATATCAACTGTCTGCACTGTGGACAGGTCAAGCCTGGGAGAAATCCATACACAAACTCTTTGATTCTGTCAATCTTTTGTGATTCAAACAATAGGTCAATTTCAATATCTTACTAGCATGTTCTTCACAGATATGATCGGGGTAAGAGTTTGTGTCCTTGTTAGACTGCAGTAAGTGATTTAGTTGAGAACACCACGTGCAGGGTGGTTTAAGGCCAAAATAATTGGTGAATTCTCTAACCAGATAGAGAATAAAGAGTTGAGAAGTATCAAAATCCACTCAAGGACTGTATAAACTAGAATCACAATGGTTTTGTGTATATCCTTGTTATGCAACACTGTTGCAAACTTATTGTCTGCCATGAATGTTTCTTGGCCATCTTATGTAAGTCACTTATGCTACGGGACACATAACTGCGTGTATGAATGGGAGAGGGGGAGAGGAAGAGGGAGGAGGAGTTGGTGTGCAGTTGTGTCCTTGGAAAAACTTTTTAAAAAGTGATTCAAATGTATGACTAGCAAGTTGTTTGAATCCCACATGATCCTATATTAATCAAACCACTTTTAGAAAAAGGTAGGCAATTCCCCTCCAACCCCCAAAAACGAAATAAAAAAAAAATAATAATAATAATAAATGGAGTTATTCTCAATTATTCAGTTCAAACACATCATTAAGGAAAATTGGCTTAAATGGTACCTCACATTTGTCCATCTTGCATTTTTTATCCAAACCTTCAAATTTTGGTACAAATGATCTCCAATCTTTGAATTCTTGGCACAATTGGTCATTTTGCTGAAAAAAAAATGGAGGGCATCTAAGAATATATGCTTCATAGTCCATTCAAAGGGGAATCAGCCTCAAATTTGATAAATTTTTCATAAAGGTATTGCATAGTTGCATATTATTATTTTGTAAAGTGCTACATTGTTATAAGCTGGCAACAATGGAAAGCAAGGTGGAAATGCATAAAAAGGAGATCAAACGTGTGGATCAAATTAAGGGAACATGATGCTTGCTAATTTCTGCTTAATGTCTCTCCCTGCTTAATGTATTAGAAAAACTTGCGAGAGAAGAAAACACACTCAATGAGATACCAAAAGACACAAGAGACTAGAGAGGGCAATCTAGGATAAGTACGACTTTTATTTTTCAGAACAATTGCTGACCAAGAAGAATCCATATTTTTAAAATCTCTGAACAGCGCTGATGTTCTAAACTGCCGGAGAAATAATCATCCTAAACTAGACCTAGTCACTTCATATGCCAAGAAGCATGTTGCGTGTGCAGGCACACTGCGGGCCATTGCGGGCCCGAATCCCTTGTAGAGGCCTTTCACTCCAGATGATGCCAAGATATTCTTAAATGCATTAACTGAGCCACTGAACTTTGGATTCTTGTAATCGTCAACCTGAATTGCGCTCTTGACAACATCAGCTGGGTAAACGGAAATCCAATATGCAGCTCCAGCTAAGCCTCCAGCTGCCATTAGTGATCCTCTTCCCAAATTAGAAGTGTCAGGGCCTCCGGCAAGAAACTGCTTCAGAGCTTCATAGACGCCAAACATAGCAGCATTTCCTGGTCCTTCACGTGCCATGGTAGGTACCAACCCCTTGAACAGACCCCTTGCACCTCCTTCAGACTTAATTACATGTCTTGCCACATCCATTGGTCCACTATATTTAACAGCAACAGCAGCAGAGCCAGAGGTCGCTAGTGCACTCTGGGCTTGTAATCTGCGTGAACGTAACTATTCAAATCTTAGTTGCATATTTCTTTATAGGCAAACATGCTAACCAGCTACAACTCATTTTGATTTTATTCGTCGTGTCTAACATGTTCTATTATATCAGTAATGAGGTTTACGTTATATTATCACTACATACTCTTCTACTAGCCAATACATAGCTTATCTTTTCAGAAAAAAGATATATAACAGAATACTTTCAAGATTAAAACCTAACATCCTTATATAAATTTCATTCAGGCTTACATTATATTATCAGTACATACTCTTCTACTGGCATTGACATAGCTTATCTCTTCAGAAAAAAATATATATCAACAGAATACTTTCAAGATTAAAATCTAGAATCCTCATATAAATTTCATGTTAAAATGATTCGCCCATAGAAATTTCTGTCAGAAAGCATACCATGCGGTGCAGAGATTAAGAGATGGTCAGCAGGTATTTATATTATATTAAGGGTTTTTCTTTCTGTTTTATTTCTGTAGTGAGTATGTGAAGTGATTCTATTACTCGGGAATCTCCAAATCGTTTGGTCCAATATGTTGTAGGCTACAATGGTATAGTCAGCTTAAGCAGGAAATAGTACCCTATCATGGTTCAGATAAAGATAGCAGCAAACATTTTCAAAATTGAAAAAACTGACCTGCACTTGATCAATTCAGTTGGGCAGACCAGAAAGGACACAGCAACTCCAGCTCCAGCTCCACAAACGACCTGCTGGTTCACTGTAAGAGGAACCCCAGGTTCAGACCTCAACAGTGCCTCTATTTGACCCCGAACTGTGAAGAGAAATGCATTCAAGGCAGCTACAGTGGCAAGTGGTGCCCCCATGCCTTTATACAAACCCCTTGGGCCTTCCGCAGCTAATGTTTGTTTGACAGCATCCATGGCACCCAAGTATTTGGGAGGCTGACCAGGAAGTGGTGCCGGCTGGCTTTGGAGCTTTACCTTGATAGTATCAAAAGGGTGCCCAGATATCAATTGTACTGCCCCTCCAACAGTTCCAGCAGTCAGATCTTTAGCTACATCGCCCATCTGAAAATTTTATATTATGCAAAGTGAAGTTTGATAGCAAAATTACAATGCTTGAGCAAATCCAGATATTTCCAAGGGTCAGCAATTGCTCAATTCATATAATTGTGTTGGTGTGAGAAACAAACCATTAAGATTCATATATTTGACATAACGTCTAAGATCTGAGAATTGTAGAAGACTTCTAAACCAGATAAATGTCCAATTGATTCATAAAATTGGTTGCAGCTGCTTCACATATCAACATTTAAGCTGACAATTCTAATCTATATCCTTTGCTGACAATTTTCTTTCTCAATTTGAAATGTATTATTGATGCAAGAGCATATAATTTGTTAACGAATAAGAGAAAGAAACAGAAAGAAAGGTTACAAAGAAGAGAAGAATTGAGGGGCAAAGGAAATCAATTTTTATTCATATCATATGATTATGAATTACAATGAATAAACCCTTTATTATAGAACAAATAATCTAAAAGAAGTTAATAATAAAAGAACTAATACTAAGCTAGGACTTTATCAAAACAAACAAACTAATATACTCTAATTAAAACACTTATAATTCAAATTAAACTATGTATTAAAATTCTATCCAACTTCTGTCTTTATCTTATCTTGATCTCCATCAATTACATTAGAGGTTATCTCAAGATATCTCAACAGTTACCAATCATCACCCATCCATAACTAGATTAAAATAACTAAAACTCCTTTAAGAGCATGCTTGGCTTGCTTCTTTCCTTCTTTCTACAAAAGAAGCAGCATTTTTTTTCCCAAAATTAGCTAAAAAAATTGTCTTCTCTGGGCAGTAAGAACCTTTTACTTCCAAACAAAGCAAGTTTTGGAAACTTTTGTAGCACTTCATCTAACCAAACTCGCTTTAAATCACCCAACTACGTTGATGGTTAATCTTTGGGGATGTCATCAATTAGATTGCCATAACTGCTTAATTTTCCTTATTGCTTTTGACTTTTCTATTTCATGTTATTCAATTTTCAGCCAATCAACTTCCTAAAATCTCTACCTATCCATTGTTGCTACTATGTAATTTAAGTATTATAATGTGCTGGACTAAGGAAAGAAGTCAAATAATACTATGACAAAATGGGGAAAAAAATTATTAGCACTGATTAACATTAAAGACTAACTAGAAAACTAGAGTTACAATCAGTCAATCATATGAAACTAAAGAAAAAATATGTAATTTATTCAAATTTTTAAAATTAGATTAGACCAGCACTATTTTATAACAGTTTCTCTCCCAAATGTAACGTCAGTCAAATCAAACAGGAAATTTATTTCCCTTCCCTCTGACAATAATTGCATCAAATTATCTTAGCCTATTTTTGAGCCCCATTTTTTAGGGAAAAAAATTTGTAATAGTGATTTTTTTGGAGAATACGTGGTTAAAAGGTAAAAAAAAGTTTTGGGTTATATGCAAAATTATTTGATTGAGAGAATGTATGGTTGAAAATGAGTTTAGGAAAAAATGAATTTTTAGAAGAGGGGCTCAAACGGTGGCTTGATTTTTTTTCTCCAGATCAAGAGAACAAGACAAATAGGACCCACGGTTACTTGTACATCTCATGCAATAAAAGGAAATAACAATGAGACTCAAAGCCTAGAAGAAATATGTAACGAAAATTGTACCTATCAGAGAAAATAAAAGATAACGTGGAATTTTGTCGTAAGGACATCCCCAAAAGAAATAAGGAGATAAAGTATGATCTCTTCTTGATCAAAAGAGGCAAACATCAGTCAACAAAAAGACAGAAATAAATAATATTGAACGTCTTTAGTATTATCCCCTCACCAACTACAAAAGGGGAGTGAACATCAAATGTCAAAAGTGATTTATGACTTATAAGATTCAATTGATGTATCTTTCATGTCAGCGACATCAAAGCTCGCTTCTCGATAATAACTGCTAA